CGGACTACCTCGAGGCTGCTGGGCGATGCACGGGGAGGCTGCGGCTGTCCTCAGGGACCAGCCAGGACAGAGGGAGCCTGGCTGGGGACAGAGATCCCCATGCTGTCGACACCAAGCTGGACACTGGGCACTGCGAGGGGATAAAACTGCTGCCAAAAGCACACATTAGACACAACCCCATCCCAAGTGCCACCGCTGGAGGACAATGGGGGAGCCACGGACCCCTGTCCCCAGGGCTAAGGGGGCTGGGACATGTCGCAGGGGACACAGATACCAGCAGTCTGGTTTGCCTCCCCCATCCCAGCCATGGCTGGTGGTGAGCACAGCCCAGCTCTCAGCACGGAGCCGACACTTACAGGTCTGCAGGGAGAAATGGCGCTTGTCCTTGGCCGGGGCAGCAGCCGCCAGGGCCAAGGGCTCGGCGTGGCCCAGCAGGTACTGGATGGAGCGCAGCTGGAAGCAGGGGTCCGCCAGCAGCACCGCCGTCGCACGCTCGGCCCTGCAAAGGGACACGGTCAGGTCTCTGCCTCCCCCGTCGTCACACCACCCCCAGAGCTGGCTGAGCCTCCCTGGGCATGACCCACCCCGCGGTCACAGGGACACCAGGTCCCCAGCCACCGCACAGCTGGCTGCGTGGCACCACATTCCCCGCCGACTGCAGGGACGCCGTGCCCGGCACAGAGTGCGATGGCAGTGATGATGTGGGAGCCCCTGGGCCAGGTCCCATAGGTGACCCTGCATGCCCATAACCCTTGGGAGACCCCCCTCCCACCTCCCGTGTCCCCATGGGGACGAGCCCAGGGCGCAGCTGGGCACACACAGCGCCCAGCCTGGTGGCCCTATTCTCCTGGCAGAGGGAACATGCTGAAATGAAGCCAAAGGACGGCCACCCTCCTCCTCCTCCTGCTCCGCCACCCCCCCTCCCTGGCTCGGAGGCTCCGGGGATCGATACGGTGCAATTAGCACTTCTGAGGCTGCAGCGGTGCCCGGCGGAGCCTGGGGAGCTGCAGGGCGGCTGAAGCAGCCAGCACCACCCTGGCTGCACAGCACCGCAAGGGTAAAAGGGGAGACGCCATGCAGCAGCCTCATGCTGGGGGCTGTGGCACCCCTGCACTGCGGGGATGGCTCGAAGTGCTCCCCCTGAAGGGTAAGCGGGTGCCCCCACAAGGCAGGAGGGAGCCGTCATGGCTCTCCCCGGCTTCAAGCATCAGCGGGGACAGCCAGGACAGATGAAGGGCACCTTAATGGGCATCTCCATCAGGCACCAGTGCGGTGGCCCATGTCTACAGCCCTTGGCAAGGCACAGCGCTGGCTCCGTGGCCAGCCCTCGGGCAAGCCCAGTAGCGTAGGCCAAGCTTGGGCCGGGGGGGGGGCACGGAGCAGGGTTAACAGCCCCTCGGCACAGCAGCAGCCACCAAATTAGCTTTTTGCTGCTCTGATGGAAACCGATTCCCCAGCCCTGGCTTTCTCCTTCCCACTAACGCGCCCGGGCGCGAGGTAATGACATTCCTGCGTGTCCTTCACCCTGCGGCCACCCCCTTCCCCCCGTCCCA